AGGCTCGGGGACTAAGTGGGCACACTTCACCTTGCGGTGAGTGTGTTTGCTTAAATCTGGAAGACTCCGCGTGTCTTGAAGTTGAAGAAGACTATCTCCTTTTCTCGTGGTCGGACTCTAAGTAGGCACACTTGGTCCACTGCGAAGAAATTTGTGATTCTGAACTTGAGCTCCTTACACCCTTATGGCAAGCCGTACTTGGGTTATGATGCTCGGAGACAGTACATGCTACTCGGCAATTGCTCACAACTGCTCGGCAACTCATCACGGTGGTCGGACCATGAGTTTGACTGCTTGACTTTGTTCGCACCTGGTCGAACAAGCTCAAGACAGCGTTGCACAACGGGTACAAGGCGCTCGGGGACTAGCTATGGGGGGTACGACCCCGAATACCCATGGCAGACCACATGGGCTGCACCCCCAGGGGCGGCCCTGCTCACAAGACGAAGCCTTGCGGGGCACGACTCTGCTCAGCGCCTCCCGCAAGACACCGAGAAGATATCCTAAAGATATTACGAGATCTGTTAGGATACGTGTGATCCCAAGATTCGTGTAATTAGTTATTACTTTTCGGTTATCTCTCAGATCTAACCGACTTGTAACCCTGCTCCCCAGACTATATAAGGCGGACAGGGACCCCTCCAAACACACGTAATATGATACGATAGCTAATACAAACCAACAGACCACAGGAGTAGGGTATTACGTTATACTAACGGCCTAAACCTATCTAACTCATGTGTCTCTGTTGCCTTCTTGTTCTTGATCTCACGCTTCTCTACCGATCAATCTACCTTCGTGGGATACCCCCTCAGAGGACTGCCGATGATATTCTGTCGGTAGGTTGCGTCATGCCGAGCGTGACGTACGCTAGCGTTAGCATCGCGGGCGAGCGTAGAGAGGCAACGTACTGATCGGACTCTAGGGCACGTCTGATCCCTAGCGACTTGACACGTCTGGTTCTTTAAACCCATCTCTAGACGCTTACTAGAAACGAACGGACACCGTATGTTTGAGCGTCAGGTGACTTGAGTGTTGCATCCGGTCAACACTTAACTGCACTAGCACTGAAATTTGATCGTTGGGATCGAGCGATCATGGTTAATTCCCAAGGACACATGGACGACGATCGAGGACCAGATGCTGGGGGTCTGCATCTGGTCACACCCCATCTGCACGTCCGATCGGCTTGAGCAGCAGACAGTGAGAGGGCCAATGACTCTTTCATGGTTGGCTCCCTTATGTGTCTTGGCCAGCCCTTGGCTCACTCTCTTGGTACTTTGACATTCCTAACATCCTTGTGAGCCTAAGCAAACACCTCCCACTTATCTCCATCATTGATTTATCATCATAGTGAGATTGAGAGTGATTCCAAGTGCATTTCCTTGAGTGATTGCATCTAGTGGCACTTGGGGATCGTTGTGGCTACGGATTTCTTGTTTCTCTTGGTGGTTACCGCCACCTAGATGGCTTGGAGCAGCGGAGGAGTTTCGACACGTGTTGGTGATTGTTCGTGGCTGACTCCGATGATTGTGAGGGGTCTTGCACCTTCCCCGGCGAAGAGACACAAGGTAGCTCTAGTAAATTGCTCATGTCATTGAGTTACCTTACTTATGGGTAGGTTCTTGCAGTGTCTATTTGTTGGATGAGGTTCGTGCAACACCTCTTAGCCACCGAACCAACGAGTGTTGGTTGACACAATGGGGACTAGCGTGCCGGCAAGCACATGAACCTCAGAAGAAAAATCTTGTGTGTCTTGTATGATTGGATTTCTTCCAGTGATTGGTTATCTTCATATTGTGATTGGTTCATTCCCAACACGACGGTATAATCACCCTACTCACTCCATTACTTTCTTGCAAACTAGTTATAGTAAGCTTTTTAGTGTAACTAGTTTTGAGAGCTTGCTTAGTAGCTTAGTTTCATCTAGTGGAGCTCTTTAGTGTAGCCTTGTTGAGAGCTCTTAATGAGTAGTGACTTAGCCTCTTGTGTGCCTAGAGATCATAGCAACTAGAATTATTGGGTAGGTAGCTTGCAACCCTTGTAGGGTTAGAGCAAGTTTAGATTTCACCATTTAGTTTACTAACAAATTGCTCTAGTGAATTTGTAGAGTCTTAAATAGGCTATTCACCCTCCTCTAGCCATATTAGGACCTTTCAACTGGTATCGGAGCCGTGGTCACCATTTGATTGAAGGCTTAATATCGCACCTGGTTTTCTAAAGAATACCAAGCGCTAACTATATGTGTGCCCAGGATGTCCACACGACACATATAGTGACAAATATAGAGAATGTCAAGAACAATGCTTTATTATATATCGAAACATATTTACAACAAGACTTACATCTATTACAAAGCATAGCGAAATCTATTCATAATCTTCGCTTTGGGTATCCATACTCCACAAGGACAGTTGATTGTGGGAGCACTCGCCTAGTTCTCTTGGAACATCTCTTGTATCTCATCACTTGAATCCATCATCTGGTACCCATCCATAATTTTTATTGATTGTATGTAAAGCAAGTGTGAGTGCACCATACTCAACCAGTATAACATGAGGGGATACAAGTCTCAAAAGGCTAGACTCGGCTGAACTACGGTAAGCATTTTTAGTTGGTCATATTTTATTATTTTAAACCTGAGTAACCGAGTTATGCTTAAGCTCCCAAGGTGAGAAGTATAATAATTGTCATCAAGATTAATCATCACCTGAACCATCCATAGAACCATCTATCTCGAAAAGGATCTAGGCCGCTCGTGTCCGTGAGCACGGCTGATATACCAGATTTACACTCTACAGAGGTTGTACACTTTCACCACAAATCGTGATTCCCATATGCCATCACCTCTTCCAAGGGAGTGTGGTAGGGTACACTATGAGACAGTTCACAGGTCCAACTAATAAGTAGCAACCCGCTAAGGTTTCCCCATCAAGAAGTAAGATCTCTCCCACAAGGGGTGACTAACAAAAAGACCAAGAAACCAAAGAGCACCCCCTTGGCAGGCCGAGAGCAAACCAATCAGAGCCCCTCTTGTGCCTTTTGGTAAGCTGCCACAAACTAGTAGAATTTTGATACTGAGTCAAGCAAGAGCCATGTGGCTTGTGGTTGTACTGTATGTCCTGGGTTGCCGCTTTAAGATTCAATCTTTACAGAGGGTAGACTAGAGCACACAAAAAAGCCCAATGCTCTAGTCCCCTGATATCCATGTTGCTAAAAAGCATCATTTTAATATTGATTCCATAATCCATTAATCAAGATTAACATTATAATAGTTTGATGATTGCAGGCTAAGTAAAACTACTCATATGCATAACCCAAGGGTAACAAGGAATACATGATAATAAAGGTTCAAGGTAAGGTCCTTAGGGGTTCATCATATTAGACACATGCATATGAAAAGGTAATTAAATAGTTATTGGGTAATAAGGGAACTCATGTTACACTTGCCTTCCAAAAGTTTTCCAAGCTCTCCAACTTTTCCTTCTGGGTCATTCTTGCATAGCTCCACTTCTAACATCAGCAAACAATTGGTATAAACATCACAAGAACATATAAATAGTACACCAAGCATTATAAAAGTATACTGTAAAGATTACTAACATGTACTATTCGTCGCTACGAACTCGAGAGCGCAAGAACCAACTAAAACGGAGCTACGGTTAAAAAGTTATAAGCTTTGAAAGTTTCAGAGATTTATTTATAATTAAAAGGCAATATATGTAAATACTTTTCAAAAGATAATGACCCAAATATAAATATTTGGACCATAAAACTATTTTATAAACTTAAAAGGTCTTTTGTCACTTTTAGAATTATTTTATCGATTAAAGCACATTAATGACATCACAAATAAAAAATTATGGCATCATTAACAGTTTTATAAAAACTAAGTACATAAATCGTATTATAGTAATTTTATAAGGAAAAATAGATTAAAACATTTTGTAATTGTTTTCACGAAACAAAAGACATTTAAAAAATTCTTAAGTTTAATAAATAAATAACACATATTAACATGTTTGCAAGCATTTATATACTTTTCTCACAAATGATTTTATTAAAGACAAATATATTAAAACATCTTTATAAACATTTTTACACCCTTAAAGGCTCTTATGATATCAGTAAATAAAATAGTTACATATGCATATATCATTTTGTAAGAAAAACACTACTGTCAGGGCTGAAACGGAATTATGGGTAGATTACAAGAGCTAGGTCGGAAGATATACAAGACTTAACGAATAGTAGAAGGATTCTAGGAAACTGCAAGGTGTAGAATGAATAAAGGTGCTAACTGGGCTTGTTGACTGGTCATATGATGACGTGGCACACGGTGATTAGATGGAGGGAGATGACGTGGCGCATGGTTGACTTCGCTGACCTAGGTCAACATGCCATCTGAGCTGTCCAGTTCGGATCGGGCGGTGGAGAAGGCATCTCCCTCCTCAGGCTGCTGCTCGAGGGGTGGGCACGGGCACCGCACGAGCACGACGCGGACTCGCGGGCCGTGGCCGGGATCGATGCTCCGGTGACTGTGGGGCACCGGCCAGCGGTAGAGAAGGAAGAGAGGCCCACGACGAACTCGCCGGTGAGGCCCATGATGCCGGGAAGGGTGCTGGTCGTGGCGGTTGCCGTGCGTTGCACCTCTGTGCCCGTCGGTGATGGAGCAGGGGCAGCGGCCGGGCATCGGGGCTTGCCGAGGACGACGCTCCGGTGGCCGGGGAACTCCGACGAGTGGCAGCACAGGATGAGGTGGCCACGGCGATCACGCCAGTGGTGTTCGTCGTCGGCGGGGGGAACTGGGGCGGCTGCCCGCGTGAGGACAGAGAGCGGCGGTGAGCTTCAGCGAGCACGGGTAGACGGCGACGGGATGCGGATTGACGGCGAGGAGCAGTGGAGTGATCTCGGGGTGTCTCTGCTATTCCGGAGAGGGAGAAATCGAGGCCGGAGGTGGCTCAGGCAGGGAGATCGAAGAGCTCCACCTCGTCTCGTCCATGGCGACGGATGTGGTGGTCGGCGGCGCTGGTGTGGCTGGGGAGGGCGAGAGGCCAAGCGGAGAGGCTAAGTGGTGGAGGCGTCCGCGTGCGAGGCCACAGACCTGCTTTTATAGGGCGGAGACCGGAGCAGAAGGCCTGGAATGGAGCTCGGTAAATGCCATCAATGGCGCACGGTTACTGGAGCAATTGAGAGGAGTTATTGTGGGAGTGAAGAGGGGTAACGGAGGGGAAGTGATGGAGGCTGTTACTACTGGCGACTTGATGGCGCATTCTCGAGGGAGAGCAGGAGAGGGAACGGTCAGAGCAGCCATGGCCGGGCGTGCTCAGGGCTCGGCTTCTGCACCTGCAGTCTGCACAAAGAGGAACGCAGGAGCTGAAGGTGGGAGATGACGTGTGGGGCCAGGTTGCAAGTGAGATGGATAGAGGAGCTCGCGTGGGCTGGTCTGCTGGGCTGCTGTGGACCAGATTAAAGAAAACAAATATAAGAAGGTAGGAGTAGAGTTTTTGGTCAACTTGCTAATTTGATACGTGATGACATATGGCGTGGCTATTTCTTTCATGCATCGATTAAAACACGTGAAAAGGGAAAGAGGCTGAAGGGGAAAAAGGAAAGAAAGGACAAAAGACCAAGGATTTTCTTGTAAAGAAAAAATATTGGGTTAGATTTGATGATCTTTATTAGAAATAGAATAAAGATTGGGCAATGAAGAGATTTGATGCAAAACAAAATTTAAAGTTTTTGTTATCATAAATAAATGAGTGTTTTGAAACTTGATTTGACAAAAATAAGTTTGAAATTTGTTTTAAAATTTTGTAAATAGGACAAAGCTTATTCGAGGCATAATCAAATTTTCTAACTCATTTTTCACTCAAGTAAATCAATGCAACCAGCATGAATGCAACACCCATATGGAAAATTTAATTAGGAAGAGTTTTATAAAGCTATTTTTATTTAACAAAATAATAACAAACTATCTAAATCTTAGTAAATTTTAGGAAAAAACATTAAATCATTTATTTTGTTTAGTGTTTTCTAAGTCATATCCTAAAATGAAAATTTTGGAGTGTGACACTTAACAACCTCGGTGTCAAAAGATGGCTTAAATTGTGTTTAACCATGTGGGGGGGGGCAAACCACTGTTCTTTGATGGCATATGCTATGATTATTGGAAGAGAAAGATGAAGATATATCTTGGTTCAATCAATGACCAAGTGTCGACAGAACATCGTCGGCAGTCCTTCGATGGGTATCCCACGAAGATAGATTGATTGGCAGAGATGCGTGTAATCGAGAACATGAAGGCAACAGAGACACAAGTTAGATAGGTTCATGCCGTAAGTATGATGTAATACCCTACTCATGTGGTCTGTTGGATTGTATTGGCTATCGTATGATATTGCGTGAGTTTGGAGGGGGTCCCTGCCCGTCTTATATAGTCTGGGGGCAGGGTTACAAGTCGGTTAGATCTAGGAGATAACCGAAAAGTAATAACAGATTACAGAAATCATGGGATCATACGTATCCTAACAGATCTCGTGGTATCTTCAGGATATCTTCTCAGTGTCTTGCGGGAGGCGTCAAGCAGCATCGTGCCCCGTAAGAATTCGTCTTGTGGGCTGGGCCGCCCCTGGGGGCGCAGCCCATGTGGTCTGCCTTGGGTATCCAGAGCCGTACCCCCCACAGCTAGTCCCCGAGCACCTTGTATCCGTTGTGCCACGCTGTCTTTAGCTTGTTCGAACAGGTGCGAACGAAGCCGAGCAGTCAAACTCAAGGCCCGACCACTGTAATGAGTTGCTGAGCAGTTGTGAGCCATCGCCGAGCAGCGTGAACCATCGCCGAGCAGCGTGACCCAAGTATGGCTTGCCATAAGGATGTAAGGAGCTCAAGTTAAGAATCGAAAATTTTTCGTAGTGGACCAAGTGTGCCCACCTAGAGTCCAATCACGAGAAAGGGAGATAATCTTCTTCAGCTTCAAGAGTCACGGAGTCTTCCAGATTAAAGCAAACACACTCACTGCAAGGTGAAGTGTGCCCACTTAGTCCCCGAGCTTGACAGTAGGTGACGTAGTCACATGGTGCCAGGGTCCAAAGTAGGAGAAAAGTAGAAGACCAGCCGAGCAGGCAGCCAGTCCCTGGGCGTAGCCTCGAGATGAAGTGTGCCCACTTAGTCCCCAAGCCTAACAGTAGGTGACATGGTCACGTGGTGCCAGGGTCAGAAACAGCAGCTAATAGAAGAAAGTCTCTAGTGCGGTGAGGAACCAAATCGTATTGCTAACGCAGTCCCTGAGCCACAAGTGGAAATCTTGGAGAAAACAAATCCTGGAGAAAAAACTGGAGTAATGACTGTACAGTAGTAATTACTGAGCCGTAACAGATGGCGGAGAAGTCGGTGAATAATCGGTGAGTAGTAACAAATCGCAGCGATAAATGGGTGATATGAGCTGTAGTTACGCGAAAGCTTAGGTAACGGCCCAATAAACCACTTTGGAGAATCCGGAGGGGTGCAAATCGCGGGAGTGGTTTCCCAAAAACCCTCGAATGTGAAAGGTGGGGGGGAGTGCTTTATAACTACGCCGCCGCACCCCGCACTCCCACCTTTGCCATTTTGCCATTTCATCTTCCTCCTTAGCCCTCGCACTTTCCGATTCACATCCACACGCACTTCCGCCGCCAATCCCTAACCAGATCTGAGAGATGGCACCAAAGAAGGGAGCTGTGAAGCCGAAGAAGGCGGCCGCCGTAGCTAGCCGTGACGAGGAATGGGTGCCATCGAGGATGGGGGAGGCGGAGATCAATAGGTTGGTGGAGGCGGGCGTTCTTTCTAACTGAGTCACCGCCGGATGGTGGCCAGCCAGTGGTGAGTCCTTCCCAATGCCTCATACTGATGAAGTAGTGGTGTTTGAGGATTATTTCTGGTGCGGGTTAGGATTTCCTGTTCATCCTTTCCTGAAGGATCTGTTGGAGTTCTGGGTAATTAGTCCGTGCAATCTCCATCCAAATACCATCTTACACATCTCGATCTTTATCCACTTCTGTGAAGCGTATCTGGGGGTTCTTTCGCAGTTCAACCTCTTCAAACACCTTTTCTGGTTGAAGAAGGGTGGTGGCGGTTCCAAGGTGGTCGGCGGCGTATATTTGCAACTCCAGGATAGGATGGCGAGTGAGTACATCTCTGTACCGCTGAATACTTCTCTGAAGGGGTGGAATGCTAGGTGGTTCTACATGAAGCAGAGCCACCCTGCAATCCACTGCGACATCGACCACATCCTGGAGAGCCATAGCTAGTCGGAGAAGCCGAACAATGCTGACATGGAGCAGGTGAGGGAGCTCCTCAACCTGATAAAAGGCATGGAGATTAATGGCGGACTGGTGGCAGCAAGCTTCATAGTGCGCTGCATCCAAATTTCACAAGGAGAGGGCCCACCCAGGCTTTGACTTCAAGGGTGACAACGACGGCACCCGGGAGGCCATGGGGAAGCTGATGAAGGATGACGTGCTAGCGCGGGCCGTAGAGCTATTTGCTCCAAATGCCTCGTTCAGCGTGTCGAGGCATATGAGGTCCATCAATTGTACAAATCCACCTCCTTAGGTAACCATCCCAATTGTTTTGTTCATGATGCTTTTTATCCATGATTGTTGCCGAGCAGTGAACTGATTCACTTATGCAAAGATCCATTCGCAGGAAAGAGCGGTGTACTTCTCGGGTGTGTCGAGGGTCGATTGGCCATAGGCAGTAGACGCCCAGCCACCAAGTCGACCTAAGGAAGATGCGGCCAGTGCCTCATCGAAGTCCAAAGGTGTAGACGCTGGCCGAACGGAGAGTACCTCCCTGGTGTCGGAGAAAGTCCAGGGAAAGAGGGTAGAAGCAAATGAGCCGGTCCAAAAGAAGAGGAAGACAGCGGGTGCTGTCCCCCACAAATCGGGTGGCATCTCATTTGGCGGTGACCAGACCACTCGAACACGAAGTGTGGCGATGTCCGAGTGGTCGGATGATGATGGGGCTCTGGTAGCTCCTTCTCCGAGCACGGAGGCGCCTCCATGCAACATGTGCGTGGAGGAGCAATCGAAGGAAGGGGAGGGAGTCCCTGAGTAGTGGGCGAAGGGAGTCCCCGAGCAGCAGACGAGGGGAGTCCCTGAGCAGCAGGCGAGAGGAGTCCCGGAGCGACAGGCGGAGGAGAGGTGACCAAGAGTGACTTTGTGATTCTTGATCTGGACAATCTCACCAACAATGACAAGGCCAACAAACAATACAATACAATACAATGGCTCTCAACACCATCTACAGTGCCATTGATTCCAAGGTGTTTGAGCAAATTAAGGATTGTGAGAAAGCTAGTGAGGTGTGGAAGAGATTGGAAGAAACATATGATGGCACACTGGCGGTGAAGAGTGCCAAGCTATACATCCTCAAGGATAAGTAGACAAGCTTCAAGATGAAGGATGATGAGAGCATTCCAGAGATGTTCCATAGGCTCTAAGTGATTGTGAATGACTTGAAGGCATTAGGAGAAAAGATCAATGATGATGATGTCTCTTATTAGTTCTTGATGTGCTTACCTTCAAGATTTGAGATGTTGAGAATGCTCATCATAAGAGGGGGATTGATGGAGCTTGCCCTTAACCAAGTACTAGGTGATGGCATTACATAAGAGACATACCGTATGGAAAGGGGTGAGGTTGACAAGGATGAAAAGAAGGAAGATGAAGACAAGAAGAAGAAGAGTGTGGCATTCAAAGCTAGCTCATCATCCAAGAACAAGAGCAAATCCAAGAAAGAATCAAGTGATGATGAAGATGCTAGTGACATTGATGATGAAGCTATGGCTCTCCTTGTGCGCAAGATGGGCAAGTTCATGAAGAAGAAGGGCTATGGTGCAAGAAAGAGAAGATATCACAACAAGGAGATATCTCTATCCCGTCTCCGGACAGCCTCTCCAACCGGAAGGCCTGGCCAAAGCACTACTTCTGACTCCGACCCGCATCTCCGACTAGGGATGCACCAAACCCCTGCTCACTGCTCTTCTCCAATTGGCGCATTCAGAGCCGATTGAGACTAACCGACCCTGGACGCCTGCTCGGTAAGGACTAGGGAATGGATGGAGAAAGTAAGGCGGGGCGCACAACTCAAATCGCAATACCAGGGACCATACCCTACGCAACTACTAGGCAGTACCCTACGACCCTCCTGGCACGACAGAACCCAAGCAGTGTTGTAGGCGCCGACATTTTCCCCAACAGTATTGTGGGTGACATTAACTCCCATACGGTAAGGCTCCCCCACATGCCTCTGGGCATCAACAGTGTTGTGGGCACCAGAATTAACTGTGCTAGGCGAACATGGTAAAACCCCTTGCATGCGTCTAGCATCAACAATATGGTAGGTACCGAGA